GAGTGGGGGTGGAGGAGGGAAATCTTAGACTGGGTTCCACCATTTTAAAATTAGTCTATGTGTGCCAAACTTCTGTTGTTATGGGTATAGATCAGTTTCCAAACACTTATACCAGTAAAAGAGTAGGGCATCTTTACACGTGCTCTAGGGTGTGGGGAGGGGAGGCACTTTAATTAGAGTGATTCTTGGGAGTCATTCTAATTAAAGCACCTGCAGTGTCTTGTGTATTCAGCATTCTGCACTTCAAAATGGCAGCAGGGGTGCTTTAACTAAAGCAGGGCTGTCACCATTTTGAAACATGAGGATGCTGAATACATGTGACACTGAGGTTGCTGGAGCATGCTAATTAGTATGCTCCAGCAGACTCAATTAATCAAGTTTGCTCTATCACATTTTAATTAGTATGAATCCAAGCAGGCATTGGGCAGGTGTATCGGTGCCCATAATGTCTGTACCTGGCCACAGTTATAATCTCTAGGCTCCACTTCAATAGAAATAATACACTAAAACACACAATAATGGATAGCAATGATCCTCTATTAGATTTTATTAGTGATTTTACTAATCACTAGGTTTATTAAATAAAAGTATAGTTATCTAGTCATTTTTTATACGGTGCTCTCATATCAACTTCAAATACTATGGTGACTGAAAATGCCAACAAATTTTAATTATTATTTTTTACTTAAACATTTTATAAAGTTACATTTAAATAATTAAATTCTTCTCCCTTTTTTACCAGAAAAGCATGGTTAGTTTTGCCAAGGGGTTAGATTTCTAACTATGTGCCTTATTAGATTACATTAACCTTGAACTTGAAAGGACTTTCTCTCTCTCTCCCTCCCTCTCTCTGAAGAAGAGGGAACATGTTATGTGTCTCAGAAGAGCTATCCATTCTAAACTGCATGTGATGGGTTTTGTGATATGGATTACTAATATTAAGTTGAGCCTGTTAAACTAATATTATGCTTTACCATCCTCTAGTCCACATGATTTAGAGCAGTGGAAGTTTCAATTTGGTGTATTAAGTTTCTCAGCACCACTCCAGGCTTTAAACTGTGCCTCATTTTTTTCCTCTTTTTTAAGTATAACCTTGTTTATCCAAAGGTCTCAGGAGACACCTGAAAGCTTCCGACAAATGTGATTTGAGCTAAGTAAAAAGCCAGCTGGCATTTTAACAGACAGAAAACACACATGGCTAGACTTTTGAAAGCCTATTGGCCAGATCTCCATTTTGAACAGAATGTACCTAATTCTGTAGCTCAGCAAATAGATTCCACAGCCTTTAGAAAGCTAACCAGATGACAATACATGGATCAGGGTGCCCATCTCTAGAGAAGAAAATTGGCTAGCTTTGCAGATCATGCAGCTCTGAAAAGTTATACAGACCAAGAGCATTCTTCTCTACTAAACAACTGGACAAACTGCCAGTGGGCATAGAACTTTTTTTTTCTCTTAGAAATAAAATGTACTTAGTTTTTTTTAGTTGGTTTGCAATACAGTCACTTTAATATGAGGGGTATGCTGATTAAGTAGTTATGGAAATCCTAGAACTGAAGACTACTTCACGCACTACACTCTTTCATGAAATCAGAAATCTTTGAGCCCTATAATTCTCTCAAGTGCTTTGTCCAGCTTTTTAAAAGTGTCTATAGGGAGGAACTTTTTTTTATCATTGCTTGTCAGAATTAATTCTGCAGTCCAATATCCAATTATTAGAATCTACATTTTTCTTTTTTTAGGTAAATTCCATCTCTGACTATACACAGGAGAAAATGAAAATTTGGCTTACTTGCTTTTGGATATTTTATAATAATCTGAAATAATAGTAAAACAAATTATGCTGTCAGTTAAATTCATAAATCATTTCAGAATAAAATTCAAAAGTAAATGGTACAAAATTAGCAGCTTACTCTTAGGCTAGGGACAGAAATTATGCATAAACCAGGATAAGTGATCAGAAACTGGTTTAAATCTGTAACACAGTGGATATTCAGTGCATATAAACCAGTTTCAAAATGGTTAAAACTGGTTTAAGATAACCTGGATGGACATAGTTATGGCAGAAGGCCACCTATGTTTGTCCCCAAAAACTCTGCTCTGTGACAATTTGGTTAGGATGGGCCCTGCAGAGGGTACACACCTTACCCTATCTCTTTAGGTAACCTGAGTTGGATACATTACTGAGGGATGGGGGAAACCTGCTCCCTCTGCCTTTGTGACTGGCATCACATACTTAGGTAAGGGGCTTGGGCTCCCTAGTGGGCTAGAGACTGCCAGTCTGCCCAGCAACCAGTGATGCATTTCAAATTGGTTGGCTGAAAGACAACAGGTGCTGGCCTCCACTGGAACAAGTAAATGAGGTCATAAAAGCTATATAAGTTAAGGACTGCCCAGGAGTGGGGGCAGTAGCCATGATGAAAACTCATAGAGAGAGAAGAGCTGGACCATCTGAAACTTGCTTTCTCAGGAAACTCATGATCAGTGAACTGCCTGCCTCCAGAGGGACTCTCCACCTGCACCTGGATGATAATTGAAGTCAGCTACCTGAGATCTAACTAGATATATAGCTTGCAGTAACTCAGATGCGTGATCAAAGGCTACACCAGCCACCCTGTTTGCTCTATAGGATTTCTCTGATACTACTCAACTCTGTACCCTATTCCAACCCTACTCCTTGTTACCAATAAAGTTCTCCTTTGTATCTAGCATGGGAGACTTATTGAGAGTGGGTCTAGATTATGCCTTGGGGTCCCCTTGGTTTGGTTAACTAAGGGAGACCACTACTTGTGCTTCTGACTGAGGGAAGCATCCCAAGTTCTTGAAGTGAGTCAAGTACCCTTGTGGGTTACTAGGCCTGTGTTTCCTAGGGGGTACTGTGCCAGGATCAAGCCTATCCCCATCAACTCACTAGGGGGAACCAGCGGGGTTTGAGAGAGACCTTGTTCCCCCTAGCGCCCCCCAGGGTAACAAGGAATAACAGCTACAAATTGTTAGAGAGTAGGTTTAGATTAGATATTCGAAGGCACTACTTCACAGTCAGGGCAGCTAGGATCTGGAACCAACTTCCAAGGGAAGTGGTGATGGCTCCTACCCTGGAGGTCTTTAAGAGGAGTCTTGACGTCTACCTGGCTGGGGTCATTTGAGCTTGGTCTTTCTCTCCTGCCCAGGGCAGGGAGTCGGACTTGATGATCTACAAGGTCCCTTTCAGCCCTATTTCTATGAATCTATTAGTCCCTGGGTGGTGGCAACAATAACCCCAGGCTAGTGGGTTTGCTCCAGGAAGGGGGTCAGCCAGATGTGAGACAACCCCAGGGAGGCACTCGGAGCCTGGACACAGCAAGGTGGGTGGCCAAGTGCAAGAGCACGCCCTACTGGCCCACCACAGTAGTATTAGACTTAACTGATTTAGGTTAAATCAATTTATTGAACTTCTGTCCCACATCCCTTTCAGATGCAACTTAACTCGTAGTCCCCCAGCATCCCAGGATGCTTTGCACCTTCCCTGCAAACCTCCCCTTCGCAGAGTGGGTGGGTGGATTAGCCTCAGCCCAAGCTGTCTGCTTCAGCTGAGCAGGGAAACATGCTCTAGCACCCTCTGGTTTCAGGCCTGAGCCACTTTGGGCATGTGGCTGTATTTCTGCAATCAAAAGTGAATGTCTGTTCATTTTCTTGTTGATTCAATCTACGCAGCTTAAACTAAGCTGCAAAGATTGAACTGATTCAGCCTTGGAGTTCTTTCACTGTTTGTACTGAGACTGAATGGGTGAGAAATCAAGGTGAAAGCAATAAAGTAGGGTATTTTTATCGTTTGCTTATTATCAGATGTAGTGCCCTGGGACTGGAACTGTGATCAGAGGTCAGGCATGCTAGGCACTGTACAAATGCATTAGGACAGTTTATCCCTTCCTCAGAGAGCTAACAATGTGAACAACAAGATGAAACATAGAAAAGAAAAAATGAAAGTGAAATGCCGTGCCCAAGATCAGTCAGTATATTAAAAGCATAGTAAAGAACAGAACCCTCTAGTCTCCTGCCACTCAGTCCAATGCCATATCCTTTGAACTAAGCTCCTGCTTAATTTGGTCTTCTCCAGGTGTACAAAATGAGAGTAACCTATTACATACACAAGGTGTGGAGACAAAGGGAAAATTACTTCAGTTATCCTGAGTTAGTAACGGTTTAAGACTTTCACACAGACTTTGACAGAACTGTACTTGTGATATTTGACAGATTTGTACATTTTGACAGTCTTGTGCCCACCAAGAGCATTGACAAAAACAGCTGCTTTTAATCATTTTTAAAGCAATGTAATCAATAAAACTATGAATAAATCCAAACAAAAACCCTGATTCTAAAAACTCTCAAAACTTTGGAGAAATGTAAATCCTGCTCAGAATATCACACCTTAAACCATAATGGGTTAATAAAAACCCCAGATTAAACAACCTGAAATGTAAGTGCAGGAAAAATTGGTTTCCTCTTCTCATTAAGAACTGAACAAACACCCTGCAAATGAATATCTTTTGTATTTTAAGGGAGACTAAATTTGGAAGGGAAATTTGTGGTTCAAGGCTATTCCAAGTTAAAGCCCTCAGTTTGACTCTCTTAATTCAGTTCAAACACCAAAATCCTTTCAAGCCTGAATTAGCCTGAGTGTTCAAGTGCTCAGGTCCAAATGAATTGGTCAGGGGTTTTGCTGGAGTATTTACTTTCTTTAGGGTTGAGACTGTAGAGAAAGGCAGGTTCCGTTGTGTGAGTTAGCATGCTTGTAGAAAGAATAACTATTAGTTTTGTCAATGCTGGTGACACAATCCGAATTTTAGTTAAGCTATAGGTCACTATAGCCTGTGACCTCATTTTCCCTAGATTCTACTATATAGAATGGGCTGTTGAAACGACAAGAATCTTCTTAAACACACATCTACCACATATTTTTCCTATTTTTGTTTGTGCCAGCAGAATCATGTGTGCTGCCTTACTCTGGGAGGGAATGCCATGGAAACTGCTTCTGTAGATGGCCATGAAGTTTTGAAAATTGGTCAAATGACTTTTCCACAAAGGTTGCAGTGTTGCAGGTTTGTACAACTTGGACTAGATACAGCTGCAGTTAGGAACAACAGACATTATTAGAGAGGTATAAACACACAAAAAAATACACATGTGAAAATACAGGACAATTTTAAAAAAGAAAAGGCTTTCTTTAATACAGCCCATAGTGCCAGAAAATTTGATTTATAACTTAGACTTAGCTGTACACACACACACACACACACACAATATATATATATAATTATAATTTATAATAGAAAGTTTGAGGGGCATTTATCCAGACATGTCTATCTGTCTCTTTTTTCATATATATTCTGTCTCTCTCTACACACACACACCTTTTATGGATCATTATCATATTATCCAGACAAGTCTTTCTCTCTCTCCATGTATATATAGATTATATACACATGCATGGAGAAAGAGAGAGAGAGAGAGAGAGAAAGAGAGAGACTTGTCTGGATAACATGCAGCTCAAACATGGAAATATGACCACACTATGTAAAAACGAATAATGCTCCATTAAAGTATCATACAGAAGGCTCCCATTTCTAGCACGTTTCCTAATTTGTGCTGTGCTTCTTTTCTGGATACTTTAATTAGCTCTTGATTTATTTTTCACTATAAGGCAGAAGCAGTTTTTCTTAATGGCTCCCTGCTAATAGCTCTCTGCCTGGTATTATTTCTCTCCTGAATCTCAATGCTCATGGCACTACTGCTTATCCCATGATCCTCTAACTGTGGCTCAAAAGCATTTTTTATAACCAAGCCAGGCAAGTGTGTACACTAACAGAAGACTAGTTTAAAATTCAGTTAAAAAGAGTGAGCAGAGATTGTAATACGTACGGAGGCAGAATTTTTGCTGATCCCTAAAATGGTGGCTCTTGCAATTGAACTCTCTGTATTCAGCACCTCAGCATCTCGGGGAACAATGTCAGAAGGTGAAGGTTTGGCAGAGCCTGTCAGTGACATTTGTGCAAGTGTGTGAATCAGGTTATTCAGTTTGACAGGAAAGCACTCCAAACTTTCCTTTATTTTTCTGAAAGCAAAACAAAAGAAAATAAAAATAAAGATAGAATATTAATTTCTCTCTTTAGGCCTGTATTTCCCTTTGCTTCCATTTCTAGGTGCCCGCTGCCATGGCTGCAAGTAAACAGACACACATTCACCAGTTATCACTTATTTGCAACAGGACACCCTATCCAGCAACTGAACCCAATTCAAAAGAATTATTATATCAATCTGCAAAGGAGTAGGGCTGGATGTGTCCCATTGGGAGAGTGGAAAACATGCTCACGGTAGCCCCAGATCCATAGGTCACATCCAAATGAACATAGATGTTTGGTTTCTTAGGAACAACTAGCAGTGGGACGCCTTGTGCCACTGCTAGTTGTCCTCAAGTAACGCCTGGGCCATGCGCCCTCTGGCATGCAGTAGATTACCCCAGGTGGGGTAGTGGAGGCTGGGGCCAGCACTGGGTTGGCCCCAGCAGCCTTACCTGGGATCCAGGGGGCTTCCTGGAGCTGCAGCAGTGGCGATTCTGCTGCTTGGAGCCTGGTTGGCAGCCAGAGTGGGCTCCAGGCAGCTAGGCTTTAGTTTTGAGTGGCACGCACTACCCCTGCATGCACTGCTCCTCTTTTTTTGCGCAGGGTTTTTGACCTGCAATGCTCTCTTGCAGGGTGGAGAACAGGTGAATGTACAGTATGCGGCATAGCAGATGTGTCTGTGGCACCACATACTGCACGACTGTTCTCATCTGGACTTGGCCATAGTTCTTATTCTGCCAGGCTCCTGGCAAACATTATGCTTAAGATTTAACTTGTTAATAGCCTCTTAAATTAGTAACCCGGCCACAGGTTCAGACCACAACCCACAAAACCAGCTACAAAATATTCCACAAAATGTGTATAATAATTTGGTGGCTGGTTTCCACTGTACTTTGGGTTGACCATGTGGCAGAGTCACCTGCCATGAAACCTGATGCTAACTGCATGGTGGGGCTTGGTTGACAGCTCATCCAGCTATGGTGGTCTTATGGCTGAGACTGACAATCAGCTGATTGGCAATTCCTGCTTTGGGAAGACACCTTAGTTGAAATTAGCTGCAGTATGGTCCTAGGGCTAGAACCCACAATCAGCCAATTGTGATCATGATCCCAGGCTCTTGCTGCACTAGCAAGCAGTAGTGGCACACTTCAGATTTGATCCCTGATCCCAAAATCGTGTGTTCTACCATGCATGTATGGCATGGTAGGAGGTGTGATTGTTGGGTAGGAAAACATCCCATTGTGGCTTGAAATGAACATATGCCAGGGGCCTTAATGTCCTGGACCAACCCCTCCCCTCCCTTGCCTTAAAGAATAGATACACACTGACAGCATGCTTGCAAGAGCACAAAGATATAACATACGGGTGGATAAAATATGGCCTATGGCAGCGATTCCCAAACTGTGGGCTATGACCCCAAATGGGGTCGCAACATCAGCCGATGTAGTCATGGGGGTGGGGAGCATGAGGGGCCACACTGAGGAAATGGGGCTATAAATGGGGTCATGCTGAGGAAAAGTTTGGGAAGCACTGGTCTATGGGCTGGATCTGGCCTGCCAACTGACTGGATTTGACCCGTGGGTGGGCATCTGCCAAATGACTGTATCCAGGCCACAGAAGCCCCTGCAGTGCTCCATATGGGGCTGAGCCCTGCCTTCTCCTCCCTGGGGCAGCCCACGCCACAGTCCTGCCCACTCCTACTGAGGGCCCCAGTCAGTATGCAAAGCTTCCTCATAGGCCTGCACCCAGAGCTGCCTGGGTACTGCTCAGCTCCCCCCACCTCCAGTGGCTCCTCTTCTCCCCGCTATGCTGCTCCAGGCAGCAGGTAAGTGGGAAAGGGCAGGGGCCTTGGGGATGCATGCCAGGCACCACAGGCCCAGCCAGAGAGGGGGAAACTGCAGCGGGGTGGCTCCTGCCCCTGTGCATGGGGCTCCAGCTTCCAGCCATTTTCCATCCACTTGGCTTCTCACAGGTGGCTGCTCATCATGCTAGGCAGGTGGAGTGGGTAGAAGGCAGCTAGCAGTTGGAGTCCCATACTCTGGGGCAGGAGCTGCCTGGCTGCAGCTTCCCTCTACCTGGCTGGGCATCTGCTGCTCAGCACATGTCCCCACAGCTTCCCTGCATTAACTGCTGCACAGGGCGGTGCAGCAGGGGCAGGAGGAGCAGGAGCTTCTGGAAGTGGGTTGGTGGGGGCAAGAAGTACCTGAGCAGCTGTGGCAGCAGCTCTGCCAGGAAGCTGTGCACACTGGTCAAGGCTGGGCTGGGCTGGGGTTGGGGCAGTGCTCTCTGGCTGGCACAGGACAGGTGTGGGTGGGAGTGTGGCATGGACTACCTGGGGTGGAAGTGGGTAGGGCTTGGCCTCATGTGGAGTGCTGTGGGGGCAGTTGCAGGCTGGCAGGGGGAGGGGAGACAGATCGCACCTGCGCCACACGTGGGCAAGCTCTGCTGCATGTGACCCCCACCCCTCAATCCCTCCCTCCACCCCAGTCGGCTCCTGAGACTCGGAACATGGACTGTCCCCCACACAAATGTGCACCCCACCCCCACACCTCCAAACAGCCTCCCCCCTCACAAACACCCATCCCCCTACACTAGAGGGGGCAATTATTTTGGGCGGAGGGCCACTTACTGAGTTTTGGCAAACCATCGAGGGCTGCATGACAGGCAGACAGGGGCAGATAAATATTAATTTTCTAAATTTTTTAGGGGCCCCGCAGCCTGGATAGAATGGCCTGGCAGGTTGCATCTGGCCCGCAGGCTGCATTTTGCCCACCCCTGTCCTACACATATACCAGACACCCCCCCACACACAACCATGCACCTGCCCCCCACACACCCACCCCTCACATATACCTCCCCCAATATACTAGAGTAAGACTTTATTTTGAGTTATTATGCAATCGCCTCTATATACAGTACTCAAAATACCATAATTAAGGCCAAAAATATTTTTTTAAATAAAATTAAAATGTTATAGTGAATTTGTTATTTTTAGTATCCAATTTGCTCTTTATTTATAGTTTCTTAAAATGATATTTTCTGAAACATTTCATGTCTGCAGACCTCAACATCTCACCAAAACTTGGTAAGTGGCCCTCTAGCCAAAATATCTGCCCTTCGCTGGTATAACATCTACCCTGCTCAGGAGGTATGGATAACTTCTCTTCGGAGACTAAACTTACAGTGACTCAACAGCCATTTAGCAATTCAGCTGTGATAACTGTATTGTAAATCCCTTTGTTACATTTGCAAATATCAGGTTCCTGCTTACCCCTTGTGCAGCTGCATAAGGAAGAAAAAGAGAGAAAAGAATCTCCAATGTTACATCTCCACATTCATTCCCAAGCTAGAGAAGTTGGAATACATTTCTAATACCCTAGATTTTAAGGATCCTTCAGGAGAAAAGACACTATATAAGTCTCTTAGAAGCACTTTTGACAAATAACTTGTTTCATCATTGGCCTTGGAAGAGGGAGAAGCGCTGCCTACTGAGAACCTTCTTGAATCTAGTTGCTAGTTAGAATCCCTTTGCACTAGAATGTTAAACTTCCTCTAATTACTTCTGTTCAAGTTCCTGGGGTATTTTAGGTGAAGTGCCAACCACACAGCAGAATGGTTTTTCCAAGTGTGGGCACATGCTAATTATACTAATTCATTGTTATCAGAAGTCCATATAAGCACATTACCATCTGGTTAAATCCTACTGACCTAGGAGATCAGCCATGCTTAAAGTTGAGCAGGGGCCTAAATTCTCTATTGAAGAGGACTTCTTCCTGAATAAAGGTCTAAACTTGCATGATTCCTGAGAAACAGTCCTATCCACCCCGCCTCAAACAGCATCTCTTTAGCAACAGACTATCTAGCTCTTAACCCAGGGCACTAGACATCTCTCTGGACTCAGATGCCAGCTGTGCCCCCTCTTCAATATAGACCACATCACCACTAGACAAAATAACATGGATTATAACACCCAGACTTCATTCACCTGGTCCTGGCACCCGGGGCAAAGTGGAAGCAGTGATTTCCAGTTTACAGTTGTCAACTTGTGACTGCTGACAGTAGCTGATGTTTTTGCTTCTCCCCCATCCCATCAGTGCCTGGGGCAGTTACTGCAATCACCCTGCCACTAGTTATGGCACTGCTACCAATGTCATATAGTCCATCACCTGTTTAAAGTGACCCTCTGGGCTAGGGACAGACATTCAAAAAGCTGGAGCCTGAATTGATTCAACCTTTGCAGGTTAGGCTAACCTGCCTAGGTTGAACCAGTTTGTAACAGAACAGACACGCAGGCACATGCCTACAGTTGCTCAGGCCAGGAATGAGGGGGAGCCAAAGCATGCCCTCAGCTTCAGGCAAGCTGTGGGGTGAGGGGTGGGGAGGGGGTGGCATGGCCAGTCCAAGCTGAACTGGCCAGGGAGGGGTTTAATTTCCCCCTTGTTGTCCCACTGGCAGGGACCCAAGATGGGTCTGCTGGGCACTCCCATCTTGCTGCTACAGCAGCAGGGCACCATGGCCCCTGAGGCAGAGGGGAGCAGAGAGGGGGTTAGTTTCCCCTCTACCCCACTGGCAGCCAGGTCTCCCCACCATCGCACTCACTCCCTGTGGTGGAATAAGCCTCCTGCTGTCCCCTCCTCTGGATGCCAGAGGTAGGGGGTATAATCCCCCTGCCCCTCCCACCAGGGGCCCTGTGGGCTGGTGTCTGGCTGTGCCCCCACCCCACCACTGGAAGGGGAAGGGAAGGGGAAGGGGAAGGGCCCTTGTGGGGGCAGAAGTCCCTATCATAATGTTGGGGAGCATAAGCACCTTCTCAGCAGGGGGCCCTGCTGTAGGGCAGACAGAGCTGCGGTGGACTGCATGTGGCAGCACCGGGGCCTGGAGCCCTCCAAGCCCCTCCCAATGCCACTGTGGCCTGCAGCAGCTTTCCTCACCCTGCAGTGCAGCCCCTCTGCCACTCCCCTCTCTGGGAAGAGGCTTGTGCCCAGGGAAACTG